TTAGCACAATATTGTAGTTACAGCAAGGCACAGCAGTCTTTCTTGAATTTGTCAGCAGTCATCAAGGAATGGCTCTTCAAAGATATTAATTGAGAACCTTAAACAAGAGACTGGGTTCTCACCAGAAGCTTTAAGCTTAGTCCTTTAGACCCCTACTCTATGCAACTTTCAATTTCTGGGAGACCAGTGGTACATTTGAGGATGTTTACTTTGCTTTAGTAAAACTTGTTTCCCAATTGCTAATAGATTTGGGGAAATTTTACTCAGACTACTAAAATATTTGGCCCAGTCCACTGGCTTCCTGTGTTGTACTAGTCTGCCAAAAACAACTTTGATTACAAATTCTATTTGTCGGTGTCAAATGATGATGACGTTTTTCTCTTTAGAGGATAAAATATTAAAGCTGATATAAAAATCAGAACTCAGTTTGTTACTAATTGTCTTGATCTACTCATGAATAAATAACAAATATTTACTCACATGTTCTCTCACAATCAATGTTGTTTTCATATTAAAGAACACTTTAAAATCAATAATCTTTTAAAATATTTCAATCATATTAGTATTCTTAACTATAGAAGACTTTAGTTTTTTTCTGTTTCTTTTCATGATATCCATGTAGATTCTCCTGAATAAGTCATTCTCATCTCCTCAGAGTGATCAGGAACTGTAGTTTTTTTTTTCTCTTTCCTGTTAAATATTAAAAGTTGTCAAAAAATAAATATTCAGTAGAGTATTCAGAAGGAAAGGCTAGAAATGACATCTCATTTCTTTTCTCAGGTCACTTATCCTATATACCAGTATGGGTGAGATGGGTAAAGGAGAAGAGTGAAGGTAAGTTTGGAATCTTAAAGTTCATGTTTACTTCATTCTTTGTATCTATAAGCTACTCTCTAAATATGATCATATTCAACACCTGCAATGGCTTGATTAGAAATGTGCTCACCTATGTAGTTGAAAGAGAAACAAGGAAGCTGTAGTTCTCACACAGAATTAAGAAAAGAGATTGTGAATTTATAGACTAAATATGTTTAAAACAGGACATGTGCTTTTTTAAAAAAATTATTCAATCCATGTTTGTTTGTCCAAGTCAAGATGATTTTAATGAGAAATTGAGGCTAAAATTAAAATTAATGGGTTGTATTCCAAATAAATGGCACTCAAATATGAGAAGCAACTAAGAGAACATAGAGCAAGACTATTTAAAAAGCCAATGATCTTCTCTGCATTGCAATACTGTATATCAAAGCAGCAAATTTACAAAAAAAAAAAAAAAAAAAAAA